CGGAAGCATGGGCGGGCGGGGACCGACCTACTGCTGATACCATCTCAAAACTGAATGAATTGATAAGTAGAGAGAGAGTACATGTGAATATACCTAAGTGTTGTACCCTCTAAGATGTGGCCCTATACAATCTATGCAAACATAGGAGATACACATGTTTGACACAGTTGTCATTTCTTATGTAGGGCTGAATTTCATGATGACCTTCCCTTTGTCGATTTCGTCCTTGACGAAGAAATACCTGGTTGGAATCTGCAAATGCGGTGACACTTACCCAGAGACATACACACAGGAATGAAGAGGAGTGTCAAAGTATACTCGACAGATGTTACTTATGCATTCCTGATACAACATTTAGACTGTACTAGTAGCGCGATACCTCATATGGAAGGACGCGCGTAATGACTTCAGCAGTAGCGAGTCAACGCGTGAACAGTAGGTTCGCGCATACAGTCACCCGAAAGGGTCACGCCACTCTCAGTCACACGAATAGTCACTAGTCATGTCACGTGAATAGTCGCGTTACACTACGAGCAGGTACATTCTGAATAGGTACTTCCTATACTATAAATATACCGGTATTATTCATTATTATTATCCTTGTCATTTCAGACATTTCCAATACAAGGTGTAAAGTCTTCCGCTGACTTTTACTCGTGGTTCCACCAACTCTAGATCCTGGCCACCCTAAACAAGTGGTTCACTAATACAATGCCTCTATCTCTCTAATTGTGTTAGCGTCCATTGTTTGTATGTTCGTTCCAGTTTTGTTTGGTATACTGGAATGTCGTCGTTCGTTTTGCGTTTGTATGTACATGTTATCGTGTTCGTCTGTGTTGTTTTGGGTGTATGCATTATATGCCACATGCTATTTGCTGCAGTTGGAGATTGTGATCGTCACTGGGCAACATTGTGGTCAGAGTGTACCAGATCAATCATGGCTGCAGCATTGAAGCATCTGTGCACTCGTTTTGAGATATTCAGATTGCATGCATTGTGTTCTGTTACTGTGTTGTTTGTTTGGGGCATAAAATGTTTGTCGTTCCATTCGTCGTAGTGGATGACAACATACATATATGGATTTGGTTTTATTTTGTTTGAGTTTGCTGCAAGGTGGATGCCCTTCCTGTCACGTGCTATTTCAGCTAAAGATTGTGATCGTCAATAGGCAGCATTTCTGTCAAGGTGTACCAGATCAATCCTTTGTGCAACACGTAAGCATTCGTGCATTCATTTGTTTCATGTAGGGTTGTAAAATTGCAATTAGTTCCATTCTAGGCTAAAATTGTTTTCTGATTGTTCCATCCTTCGTATTTATCGACGAGGTGGAAGACAGGAAACGTATTAGGCTATTTCAATAGTTTTAACACCGGTGATTTGAAAGGTGCCCTAAAATTTTACTTTTAGAACTAGTGCCCCGAAATGGGAAACCAGATGTTTAGGACTGCTATGCAACCCAAAACTTGTTCCATTTGTTGCCGAGCTCTGTTCAGTCGATACCGTAATGATCAGGGCTCTTGACATCAGACAAAATCCGTATGTTTGTCTGATTTTCAGACTGTTTTTTAGGCATTAATATGATTTTTTAAAACCCAATTATTGAATTTTTGATACCCTAGAAAGTGATTTTGTAACCTTCTGATATTTCAGAATGGGTGTACGCGTCCTTCTGATATTATAGACATAGCAAAATTCCCCATCTGAAATGGATTTCTGTAGGTTGTATGAGGGTACTGATTGGTCCTTACAAAATCACCACCCGATACCTGCTTGAGGGTGTATGAAAAGGGAAAATTATGATGAAGGGCCAATTAGTGCCCTCACAACCCGATGCGTGCTGCAGGCTGTGTGCGGGCGCTCGTTGAACCTTAGCCAGATTAGCGTGTGACATATGCTGGAATTCGTGTAGGGGAGGGAATTCGTGTGGGTTGACTGGCCCTGGTTGGCCCTCGCCCGCCAACCAATGTGTGTGAACGCAACTTGCGAGGGCGTTGCTCCCGCGCGCCCCCTTTAATTTCAATCTACCCTTCACCTCTCCCCCACCCAGACAGGGTTCTCGCTAGGGCCCTCCCCCTTTCCTGTGCCCGCATGACTGAGGGCATGGTTCTAGTAAGTGTCATTCCGAGAAAGTGTTATCCGAGAATGTTGGAAACCCATCGCAACCGTTGAGTTTCGAAGTAACGGTTGCGATGGGTTTCCAACATTCTCGGATGACACTTTCTCGGGATGACACCTACTAGAACCATGCCCTGATTCATCGCTTTGGGAGTCATCCCACCAATCAAAACCACTCTCGACATTGAACCCCCCAAAACTTTTTTCGCGCACGCCCAAGCTGCCCAAGGACCTTGGGCACTGGGAAGCGTACTCAAATGTTGGGGCGTGGAGGCTCAAATTGGCCCGTATAGGTTAGCATAGAAAATGAAATTAGGAACTTCTGAAATTTTAGAAATTGCACTACGATTCCTCTAATTTTTTAGAAATTGGAAATTTGGTCGTCTGATCATCAGACGGGCCCGAAGTGCCCGTCTGATGACCTAGAAAGTGCCTATAGCCTAGCGAGAGCCCTGGTGATGATGCCTCCAAAGGTAAACCAGGCAGATACCTTTGTTGCCCGATTCAATCACGTCTCGGTTCACTCACAAAAGCTTCCCACATCATTTCTGTTTCTGGCAAGGGACACCGCACCCCCGTTTCTAGAACATGGCCGGCACTGTTCTCAGAGAAGACAACGATAACAATGGATCTTGCCTGCCATGACATCATGTCATATTTCGTCCGCCGGGTATTTGGGAAACTACAAATTCAGAAAGTACAAATTTAGTCCCCAGGTATTTTAAAAAGTACAAATTCAGCCCCCCGTCGCAATCCGCGCATGCCAAAGCGGTAACATTCAAACACACTTACAATCCCATTCTTCCCGTGGCGAGGTGCGCGAAGTGTCGGGGACGCTTTCAGTCCCAACCGCCTAAAAACATGGGGTGACTGACTAGGGCAACAAGAGTATTAGCCTTGGAGTTGCCGGAACATTCCTGACCCAGTCTAGAATGCCCGTGGGACTATAGAAATTGCCCCATCCGTGTCGCACCCTAACCCGCTCTGCTAGACACTGAGGGGGGCACTCTGCTCCGCAAAGCAAACCCGCTGCAATTTCCAATGCCTCCACACCAGGGCTGGGTATTTATCTATCGGGTAACCATCAACGGGGGTACCACTTATATTGAAAAAAGAATTGGAACCACTTATATCCATTTTTGGCAATAATATTTAGTTACATTGTTGAGGCGTATGGGAACTAGGGTTCCTATCAACTCCAATTCCATCCTTATGTCATGTTTCTATCCTCCTCATACTAATCTGTAAACAATATATCTTTCTATAATACTATGATGCACGCCCCGACTTCATGAAGAAGCCTAGGTTGACTCGCATGCGACAAATGCCTCCACCATCATGCCGACGTCAGCGACCATGAACAATCCATAACAAACAAGGCTCCAATATTTTGGGGAAACCTTATAGTCCCCTTTTGCCTGCACTACAATGCATTATTCCATGTACTACATTTCCGTTGGGTCATAAAACGAATGAAATACGACTAGAATGTGTAATAAGTATAAAAATGCTTTTCTTTCGTGCCTATCTGAGTTGACACATTGGTTTTACGAATAATATCCTTGTAAGAGACACTCCTATAACGCATAACTGTCGATGTGGTCGCAGGTCGGAATTATTGAAACGATGGGTTACCAAACAGAGAATGCGCCGCGCACTGTTTGTTACAAATCTGGGATAATTGGTACCTCGCTGGGGCGCCACATATATTTTGTGACCATCTATGGATAATCGGTACCACGCTGGGGCGAAGTCGATCTGATGGTTACGACCGTGCCATGCGTGTGACTGCTGACATCAGCACCCCCGATGATGGTTACCCGGGAGATAAATACCCTTGATTTCTGTTTCATCCAGATTCGGGTACAAAGTTACTTTTAGCCGAGTTACAGCAAACATTGACTCGGACATGTCACGATGTTCAAGGTCCAACAGGGTAACATTTGCGGCGTGCCAAAATAAGAGCGTACTTTTGGGCTGATTATGTTAAGAGTGTTAATTTCTTCCGCAAAATTCTCTATGTTCTAGGGTAAAGGCAGGAATGTTCCTATAATGAGAACTAGCCGAATATTTTAAGTCTCATGGGTGTGGGTAAGAGGACTATCTCTGTTTGGGAGGCACTTAGCCGAATTCCTCTATGGTCGAGGAAGGAATGTTCCTGGCTGTGAAGGACTTGGCCGAAAATTCTGGGTTTCGGGTAGAGCGGGTGCGAGGAGCATGGTATGTCTGTGTGTGAGGGACTTGCCATTTTTGCTTGGTTGCGGGGACTTCGCCGAATTTTCAGAGTTGTGCGGGCGTGGGAGGAGTTATAACTGTGTGAGGGACAGCCGAATTTCCTGGGTTCGGGGACTCCGTGGGATTGTTTCTGAAAGTTAGGGACTTAGCCGGAAAAATGTCTCTGCCACCCTGGGTGCGAGGAGAGGGGGAGGGGTAGGGGGGGGGAGGGGTGGGGGGGTACTTCTTGGCAGTTGCAGCCGGATTGCCCCCCCAGTGAGTTCTGATCTGCCCGGAGCCCCCCGCAACACTTCTATAAATTACGGAAACCCCGATAACTCTACCCGTTCAAATTCCGGAACGAGCCCAGCGCCAACTCTTAATGCTTTTCTATTCCGGGTAATTACGCTTGAAAACTAGGCCCTGCTCCACACAAACCGCGTGCCTTGCTGCCCATTTCCTTTCTGACAAACGTCAGCAGTGAGCCAGCTCCCAGCACCTCCCAGGCAGCACCGTGTTCCCTGCCGTCACTGTTTCCCCTGTTCTTCTGGCACCCACTCATCTCCACTCACCCAGCACGGGTCCCAACCCAACCCAACCCAACCCAACCCAAATAGCACACCGTCACGAATCTGCTACATTACCGAGTAGCGTAATCATGGATTGTTGTTACCAGCGAGCTACCCCCCTATCCCTCGGCCGTGCGGGATCCATGTCCATCTGCGCACTCGGCTCTCGCCATGCACTGCCGCCTCGCGTGCAACTCTCACACGCACTTTCCGCCGCACCCGCTCTAGATTGCATCGCCACGGCCCGTGCGCACTGGGAAACGAGGTCCTCACTGGCTGCGATCCGACGAGTCGGGCAGTCCCCAGCACCCGGGCCGGCCCAAGGTCGCTCGCAGGCAGGACGGCGCCGCCGTCGTGGCGCCTCCCGCGTCTTCTCGCCCAGACCTTTCCTTCCCGTCCAGCGCTCTTCCGTCCTCTCACGCTCCCTTCCGCGGCGGCCGCTGGCGCAGATGTAGTAGCGCCACTCTCTTTCCAATCCCCCGCGCGCGCGCGGCATCTACCATAGGGGCGCGAGGCCTCGGCCCTGCCAGAGCCCCCGAGGCCTCGGCCCTGCTCCATGGGGGCCCTACCAGAGGCTCCGCGTTTCTGGCTGGGGCGCGGGGGTATCTGGGGGGCGGCGTGGGTGGCGGGATGGGTGGGGCTGTGCGCGTGGGTGGTGTGGTTCGCGCACACGCAGACCGCCAATCCGCGGCAGGAGGCGATGCGAGTGTGGTGTCGCACGCGCGTGCGATACCTCCAGCAGGACATGCGATCGTCCATCGCGCGCGCGCAGGTGAGTCACTCACACGAGCGGCCCTGCTGCTAGCTCACACGCACGGCATGCCATCCGCCAGCGCGCAGGTGAGTCACTCACTAGGCCTAGTAGCCCCTCGCCTTGACGCCACAACCTGAGGCCAGTGCGAGGAGGCCACGCCTTCGCCTCTGCTCTTCCTCTCTGCTCTTCCTCTCTGCTCTTCCTCTCTGCTCTTCCTCTCTGCTCTTCCTCTCTGCTCTTCCTCTCTGCTGCTGTCACCTAGCAGCCTCTTCGTCGCCCCTCTGCACCTCTGTCGCCTGTGATCCCCCCTCCCTCTTCCTCAAGCCAGCTACGACGATCCTCTACCCACCAGGGCAGAAGGCCAGAGTGGAAAGCCATCAGACATGAATGACACGGGAGGTGTGATTACGTGCTGATAGGCATGGTGTGGTCAGCCTATGGTGTCCATGCCTTTGCCTATGGTGCCCGTGCCTTTGCCTATGGTGCCCGTGCCTTTGCCTATGGTGCCCGTGCCTTTGCCTATGGTGCCCGTGCCTTTGCCTATGGTGCCCGTGCCTTTGCCTATGGTGCCCGTGCCTTTGCCTATGGTGTCCGTGCCTTTGCCTATGGTGCCCGTGCCTTTGCCTATGGTGCCCGTGCCTTCGCCTATGGTGCCCGTGCCTTCGGCCTATGGCGCCCGTGCCTTCGGCCTATGGTGCCCGTGCCTTCGCCTATGGTGCCCGTGCCTTCAGCCTATGGTGCCCGTGCCTTCGCCTATGGTGCCCGTGCCTTCGGCCTATGGTGCCCGGGCCTATGGTGCCCGTGCCTTCGGCCTATGGCGCCCGTGCCTTCGGCCTATGGTGCCCGTGCCTTCGGCCTATGGTGCCCGTGCCTTCGGCCTATGGTGCCCGTGCCTTCGCCTATGGTGCCCGTGCGTGCCGTCTGTGTGCGCTGTTCCTTCAAAGTGAGCTGCACTTTCCCGTGTCTCACATGCATGCCTCACAGTGAATCCATTTCCCGCGCCAACCACTTCGCACCTGCTTCTCCTCCTGCCCGCCCCTTTCCGCCCCTCTCACAAGCCAGGAGTCAGTGGGCCTGATGAAGGTCTTTGCGCACTACGGGCGGCGCAGCAGCAGCGACCTGAGCTACTGGGGGCTGGGGGGGTGCGTGAGCAACGCGTCCCTGCTGGCGTACAACACGCTGGCGGACAGCGTGCTCAACTACAGCAGCGGCACCCTCATCATGCTGCTCGCCGCCCATGACAGGTGCGGCTATGGGGGAGGGGGGAGGGGGGGGGGGGGTGCGGTGATGGGCGCGGGGAGTGGGAGAGATGTGGTGGTGGTGGGGGTGGGGGGGTGAGGTGAGTGAACAAACTCAACTCGTTGGAACCTCTAGCCCGAGCCGCGCTGGGCGCTGCATTGTCGCAGGGTCACCATGGGCCACCATGGGCCACCATGGGCCACCATGGGCCACCATGGGCCACCATGGCCCACCATGGGCCACCATGGGCCCCATTGCCACCATGGGCCCCATTGCCACCATGGGCCACCATGGGCCTGTGCCTGCACCACCCTCCCCGGCACCGTTCACCTCCCCCCTATCCGCGCATCTCAAGCCCCGCTCCGTGCCCCACGTCCACCCAGGCCCCTGGTGGAGCGCATCACGGGGTACGAGGTGCGTTCCGTGCTGGGGCTGCCTGCCCCCACCAGGGACCTGTACGCCGTGCCGCTGTATGGCAGCCTGGACGCCGCTGCCACGCTCAAGCCCTTCACGGATCTGCTGCCCCTCGTGCCCCCGGACATCATAACCCGGGTGCTTGCCGGCAAAGCCACAGCTGGGCCGCCCATTTCTACCGCCCCTGGTTCCGTGACGAGCGGTGAGTGCGCCAACCCGTGCAACGTTCACCCTACCGGGCTTTGTTGGCGGTTGAGTCCGTGCCGTTCAGGTGATAAAATAGATATTGTCTACGTCTGTAGGCATCTTCATTTCTGCCTTTGTACCTTGGTTGGTTCGTGCATGAGCACGCTGTGTGCTGTGCCGCATGGTTTGCTGTGCCGCATGGTTTGCTGGCTCGTGGGCCTCCCTTGGCTTGTCGCCCGCCATATCAGCGCCAGCGGGCGTTTAGCCCAGCGGTTCGCGCAACTGTGGCATTTTGCCTGCCAGATCGGGGCTTAGTGGGCGAGCTGCAATGGGACTTGCGTCAAGCCCGTAGAGCTGCAATGGGACTTGCGTCGAACCCGTAGGGCTGCAATGGGACTTGCGTCGAGCCTGTCGAGCTGCAATGGGACTTGCGTCGAGCCTGTCGAGCTACAATGGGACTTGCGTCGGGGACTTGCGTTGACCCCGTAGAGCTGACAAGCAGGGAGGGGAGGGGAGGGGAGGGGAGGGGAGGGGTGGCTTGTCGTTTCCACGTTCACGCGCCGTGAGCGGCTCGCAGCTCTCGGCTCGGCTCGGCTCGGCTCTACTTACACATGAGCGGAAAGGATGAGTTGAGGCGCTGGCGCGGCCATGTGGCCATGCAGAGGCTGTATAGAGAGCACTGGTGGCAGCGGGCGGGCTGGCAGTGGACGAGCTCCTGCCAAGGGCGAAGCTTAACCCTATGAAGAGCGGCGGTGTGGCTGCCAGTCCGCCAGAAGGGTGTGGCGAATCAGGTGCTGCTGGAGTGAGTCATGTGCCACCGCCATCGCCACTGCTGCCACCGCCACTGCTGCCACTGCCACTGCTGGCGCAAGGGAAGCCGTGAAGAGTGGAATGCTCTAGGGGGAAAGGGGGGGGGGGGGGTTTGATAGCACCAGGGCATTACCGCTAGCAGGAGGCTGGGAGGCCGAGCGAGTGGTGCTGGCGGGCTCCGCGAGGGTCGACGAGTGGAGTGTCGGGGCGACCGTGCAACCGCCACAACGGCAGAGCGGCAGGGCGGGGCGCATGCATGGCGCAACACCGCAATAAGCGACGGGAGGTGCGGGGCGCCTTGGATCGTGCCCTCCCTGGTGGAGTGGAGAGCATGGCAAGGATAGAGGGACAGGGTGGGAAGGGGAGGGGGGGGAGATGAGTGGGAATTTGGGAGCTGGGAGCGAAAGCGGCTAGCAAAGCACGAGTCAATTGTGCAGAGGTAGGTGCTAGGAAGGAAGGCTGGTGCTGTCAGGAAACAAAATAGTGCAACGGGTCTAAGTGCCGTACGTACGGTTCTTAGCTTATAATACCATGAATTGCAGAAGAGTCAGTGCATTGAGTGGGGAGCCAGTGGCCCTGTGGTCTTCAAGGAAGGAAGGAAGAAGACACCTATAAAGATTGGGAAGCACTCGATTGGTTGGAGTAGTCCACCCTCTGAGAGGGGCAGGAGTAGCCTAAGGGCGTGGGACATGCGGTCTGTTTCCCCCGATACAGGACCACTGCCAGCCAGAACTACACGTGGAGAGTGAGAGCCTTGTTAGACGTCACCAATGTTTTCGCGAGAGCTTTTCTCCCGGAGGTGTTCGCCTAAACAGATTCGGATTGATGCCCCACTGCACTGGTTTTCCTGTGGACCCCTTGGAAGACACGCTGAAGTCCCGCGGCGTGCTCTCAAAGGCGGTTGGTGGCAGCCACGTTGAAGCAGGCCGGAATAGTCCACCCAACTCTGGGGCTAGACAAACCATGCCAGCCAGTTAGTGGGTTGTTCCGTGCACAAATGCGTTGGAGGACATTCTGCACAAGGCTGGATCAACCAGACCACTCACCTCAACACACCCAGACTCCCTATCAAACTCAGACGCCCTATCAGCCTCATACTCTTTATCAGCCTCATACGCCCTATGAGCCTCATACTCTTTATCAGCCTCATACGCCCTATGAGCCTCATACTCTTTATCAGCCTCAGACGCCCTATGAGCCTTATACTCTTTATCAGCCTCATACGCCCTATCAGCCTCATACCCCCTATCAAACTCATACTCCCTATCAAACTCGTATGCCCGATCAAACGCACACACCCCATCAAACCCCACACGAGCCCCCATGACTTCCCCGTGGCTGCCCTCCTTCCCTGGCAGTGTTTGTCATCCCCATCGTCCGCCACCCCCTGCCGGCCAGCGCATCAGCGCAGCAAGTGAGAGAGAGCATCAGCGTGGCATGGGGCGGCGTCATCTACTACGAGTCCAGGATCCGCGGCATCATGGAGATGCTTGAGAGCGGTGAGATGAGAACTGATCACCGCGGTGGCTGGTAGGCTAAGGAATAGCTGGAATGGTGGAGAATGGTGGAGAATGGTCAGCAACAGGCAAACCGCGACTGTATGGAGAAGTTTGTGACATGCGTGAGAGTGGTGAGGTGGTAGTTGAATTGAATTGAATGTCTCATGATACTTTCATGCTTACCTGTTTCTCGTTCTGTCCACCTCCTCTCTCTTCTCAATCCCTCCTTGTCTTGTTGTCCTTGCCCCCTCTGTCCCCTCTTATATCCTCCTCATCCTCAACACGTTGTCTGGTTCACTGGCTCGCTGGTTCGCTCGTTTGCTGGTTGGGGTTGGCTGGTTTGCTGGTTCGCTGGTTTGCTGGTTGGGGTTGGCTGGTTCGCTGGTTGGCTAGTTGGGGTTGGCTGGTTGGCTGGTTGGCTGGTTTGCTGGTTGGTGTTGGCTGGTTGCCTGGTTGCCTGGTTGGGGTTGGCTGGTTGGCTGGTTGGCTGGTTGGCTGGTTGGCTGGTTGGTTGGTTGGCTGGTTGGCTGGTTGGTTGGTTGGTTGGTTGGCTGGTTGGCTGGTTGGCTGGTTGGCTGGTTGGCTGGTTGGCTGGTTGGCTGGTTGGCTGGTTGGCTGGTTGGCTGGTTGGCTGGTTGGCTGGTTGGCTGGTTGGCTGGTTGGCTGGTTGGCTGGTTGGCTGGTTCGTTGGTTCGTTGGTTCGCTGGTTGGCTGGTTGGCTGGTTGGCTGGTTCGCTGGTTGGCTGGTTCGTTGGTTCGCTGGTTCGCTGGTTGGCTGGTTGGCTGGTTGGTTGGTTCAGAACGTCAACGAGTTGCCACTTGGCAGTGCCTCCATAAAGCAAGCATCGCTTGATGACATGAACCACAGAGCTCCTCTCCTGCCATGTGCCCCTCATCATGTGCCCCTCATCATGTGCCCCTCATCATGTGCCCCTCATCATGTGCCCCTCATCATGTGCCCCTCATCATGTGCCCCTCATCATGTGCCCTCATCATGTGTTTTAGGGCCACGTCGGTCGCCAGTTGCTCCTTCTGCCAGAAAGATGGTAGAAAGAGCAACTGCATCTCATGTCCGATCAATCATTGCGCGTCCCCGTACCTGTGTGCGGCACCTGTGCATGCATGGCAGGGAGCAGCGCGTACTCCTTCGCCGTGTGGGACAGCACGGACCCGGGTCAGCTCCTGCAACTGTTTGGCCCGGAGGAGCCACCTCTGGCCAAGGGCTCTGCGTTTCGCTTTGTGTTGCCGACGCCTGCTCTGGCGGCACCGGATCATGTGGAGCCCTTTGCAGAGGACCTGTTTGGGCGCACCTTTGAAGCGCACTGCAGGTGGGTGGATGCATGAGGATGTGCCGGTGCTGTGGGCCGTATTGCTATCTCCCTTCATATGCCACGTCTTTTCATTCACCGCCTCGTTGCTTCACCCCCTCGATGCCTGGCACACCCTAATTGAGCCCTTGGTGCGTCCCACACCTCCAAAGCCTCACACAATGGTATGGTCGGCAAGGTTTGGGTTGTTGGCCGAATGGTGAGGGACTCTTGCACCTGGTTCAGGCAGGCCCGAGGGTTCAGGGGGAGGTCCAAGCCAGGTTATTGCGGTTGGGGCAGTTGGGCCTTGGAACAGCTCACCTGTAGGTTGCGGCTGTTGACGACAAGGAGGACACTGCGCCAAAGCGGATGAGTCGGAGCGTGCGCGCGTGGCCGTCTGTTGGCCGTACTCGAGTCGCTGCATCCAGTGAATCCATCGCCTGCATCCAGTGAATCCATCGCCTGCATCCAGTGAATCCATCGCCTGCATCCAGTGAATCCATCGCCTGCATCCAGTGAATCCATCGCCTGCATCCAGTGAATCCATCGCCTGCATCCAGTGAATCCATCGCCTGCATCCAGTGAATCCATCGCCTGCATCCAGTGAATCCATCGCCTGCATCCAGTGAATCCATCGCCTGACCGAACGGATCTTGGCTGGGACTTGGCAGTTGTTGCATACAAATCAGCCGAACAGCTTCCAAGTAAAAGCAGGGAACGGAAGGGCCGTGGTTGTCTGGGTGCCATCAACCATGGTGGAACGTAGGACGAGACCAATGAGTGCCATCAACGAGACAAGACCAACGAGACATTTCTCTCCACCTAACTGGTGTTCCATTGGGTGCCATCAACCATGGTGGAACGTAGTACGGGCGTCATGCTGGGCCGTGATGGGCTCGGGAGGCCAGCCCGAGGCCTGTGGGTTGAAGACGGGGCGGGGTAGGCGTGGCGTACTGGGCCACGGGACCTTGGACTGCTTCAATTTCACCACTTGGTGAGATACGGAGAACACTCCGTGCATGCATTGTACCTGACTGATGGTAGTCGTCTGACGGTGCACTAGAGCTTAGGCCTGCTAGAGTCTGAATACGTACTTTCACATATGAAAACTATCCTGTTCCCACAACCTCGCTCGTGTTTCCCACTCTCCCTCCCTCCCATACGCAGGTTTGAGGGCGCCTACCCCTCTTGGGACCTGGTGTATGCACCCATGCTGCTGGGTCTGCTGGTGCTGATAGTGGCGACGCTGCTGTCCGCCGTGATAGCGGTGCTGGCGAGGAAGCGCACGCAGATGGCGCAAGGGGTGAAGGAATTGGCATGGTGCACGGCAGTGCTGGAGAGAGCTGAGCGCTCCAAGAGTGAGACAGTGGCCAACGTCTCCCATGAGCTGCGAACCCCGATCATTGGCATGATGGGTGAGAGAGAGCATGCAGGCATGCAGTGCACCGCCACTGAACCCCGTTTCCGCAAGCATGCTGAAGTGGTGAACGTGTTCCACAAGCATGCTGAAGGGGTGAACATGTTCCACAAGCATGCTGAAGGGGTGAACGTGTTCCACGGGCACGCACATCCAAGCACTCTTTGCATTCTCATCCCTTTTCTTCCGCTGCATACTTTTTGGTCCGCCGCAGGCATGATAGAGGAGCTGCTGGAGTCGGCATTGGAGGAGTGGCAGCAGGCGGATCTGAAGGACGCGCGGGCGTGTGCTGTGGAGACGGTGGACCTCATCAACCGAGTGCTGGACCTCGCCAAGCTGCAGGCCGGCCGCCTGCACCTCGAGACGCTGCCCTGCTGCCTTCGCCGCATTGTGCACGAGGCAACCACGTTTGCTAGACCAGAAATACACACAATGAGTCTGCAAGGTACAAGCTGGACGCGTCGATCGTTCATGCCATTGACGTTCAAGGCCTTGTGCACTCATGGGTTGGGGCATTCTTGTGCACTCATGGGTTGGTGCATTCTTGTGTACTCATGGGTTGGTGCATTCTTGTGCACTCATGGGTTGGTGCATTCTTGTGCACTCATGGGTTGGTGCATTCTTGTGCACTCATGGGTTGGTGCATTCTTGTGTACTCATGGGTTGGTGCATTCTTGTGCACTCATGGGTTGGGGCATTCTTGTGCACTCATGGGTTGGTGCATTCTTGTGTACTCATGGGTTGGTGCATTCTTGTGCACTCATGGGTTGGTGCATTCTTGTGCACTCATGGGTTGGTGCATTCTTGTGTACTCATGGGTTGGTGCATTCTTGTGTACTCATGAGTTGGTGCATTCTTGTGCACTCATGGGTTGGTGCATTCTTGTGAACTCATGGGTTGGTGCATTCTTGTGTACACATGGGTTGGTGCATTCTTGTGTACTCATGGGTTGGTGCATTCTTGTGCACTCATGGGTTGGTGCATTCTTGTGCACTCATGGGTTGGTGCATTCTTGTGTACTCATGGGTTGGTGCATTCTTGTGCACTCATGGGTTGGTGCATTCTTGTGCACTCATGGGTTGGGGCATTCTTGTGCACTCATGGGTTGGTGCATTCTTGTGCACTCATGGGTTGGGGCATTCTTGTGCACTCATGGGTTGGTGCATTCTTGTGCACTCATGGGTTGGTGCATTCTTGTGCACTCATGGTTTGGGGCATTCTTGTGCACTCATGGGTTGGTGCATTCTTGTGCACTAATGGGTTGGTGCATTCTTGTGTACTCATGGGTTGGTGCATTCTTGTGCACTCATGGTTTGGGGCATTCTTCTGCACTCATGGGTTGGTGCATTCTTGTGCACTCATGGGTTGGTGCATTCTTGTGTACTCATGGGTTGGTGCATTCTTGTGCACTCATGGTTTGGGGCATTCTTGTGCACTCATGGGTTGGTGCATTCTTGTGCACTCATGGGTTGGTGCATTCTTGTGTACTCATGGGTCGGTGCATTCTTGTGCACTCATGGGTTGGTGCATTCTTGTGTACTCATGGGTTGGTGCATTCTTGTGTACTCATGGGTTGGTGCATTCTTGTGAACTCATGGGTTGGTGCATTCTTGTGTACTCATGGGTTGGTGCATTCTTGTGCACTCATGGGTTGGGGCATTCTTGTGCACTCATGGGTTGGTGCATTCTTGTGTACTCATGGGTTGGTGCATTCTTGTGCACTCATGGGTTGGTGCATTCTTGTGCACTCATGGGTTGGTGCATTCTTGTGCACTCATGGGTTGGTGCATTCTTGTGTACTCATGGGTTGGTGCATTCTTGTGTACTCATGGGTTGGTGCATTCTTGTGTACTCATGGGTTGGTGCATTCTTGTGCACTCATGGGTTGGGGCATTCTTGTGCACTCATGGGTTGGTGCATTCTTGTGTACTCATGGGTTGGTGCATTCTTGTGCACTCATGGGTTGATGCATTCTTGTGCACTCATGGGTTGGTGCATTCTTGTGTACTCATGGGTTGGTGCATTCTTGTGCACTCATGGGTTGGTGCATTCTTGTGCACTCATGGGTTGGTGCATTCTTGTGCACTCATGGGTTGGTGCATTCTTGTGCACTCATGGGTTGGTGCATTCTTGTGTACTCATGGGTTGGTGCATTCTTGTGTACTCATGAGTTGGTGCATTCTTGTGCACTCATGGGTTGGTGCATTCTTGTGAACTCATGGGTTGGTGCATTCTTGTGTACTCATGGGTTGGTGCATTCTTGTGCACTCATGGGTTGGGGCATTCTTGTGCACTCATGGGTTGGTGCATTCTTGTGTACTCATGGGTTGGTGCATTCTTGTGCACTCATGGGTTGGTGCATTCTTGTGCACTCATGGGTTGGGGCATTCTTGTGCACTCATGGGTTGGTGCATTCGTGTGCACTCATGGGTTGGTGCATTCTTGTGCACTCATGGGTTGGTGCATTCTTGTGTACTCATGGGTTGGTGCATTCTTGTGCACTCATGGGTTGGTGCATTCTTGTGCACTCATGGGTTGGTGCATTCTTGTGCACTCATGGGTTGCTGCATTCTTGTGTACTCATGGGTTGGTGCATTCTTGTGCACTCATGGGTTGGGGCATTCTTGTGCACTCATGGGTTGGTGCATTCTTGTGTACTCATGGGTTGGTGCATTCTTGTGCACTCATGGGTTGGTGCATTCTTGTGTACTCATGGGTTGGTGCATTCTTGTGCACTCATGGGTTGGGGCATTCTTGTGCACTCATGGGTTGGTGCATTCTTGTGTACTCATGGGTTGGTGCATTCTTGTGTACTCATGGGTTGGTGCATTCTTGTGCACTCATGGGTTGGTGCATTCTTGTGCACTCATGGGTTGGTGCATTCTTGTGTACTCATGGGTTGGTGCATTCTTGTGCACTCATGGGTTGGTGCATTCTTGTGCACTCATGGGTTGGGGCATTCTTGTGCACTCATGGGTTGGTGCATTCTTGTGCACTCATGGGTTGGGGCATTCTTGTGCACTCATGGGTTGGTGCATTCTTGTGCACTCATGGGTTGGTGCATTCTTGTGCACTCATGGTTTGGGGCATTCTTGTGCACTCATGGGTTGGTGCATTCTTGTGCACTAATGGGTTGGTGCATTCTTGTGTACTCATGGGTTGGTGCATTCTTGTGCACTCATGGTTTGGGGCATTCTTCTGCACTCATGGGTTGGTGCATTCTTGTGTACTCATGGGTTGGTGCATTCTTGTGCACTCATGGGTTGGTGCATTCTTGTGCACTCATGGTTTGGGGCATTCTTGTGCACTCATGGGTTGGTGCATTCTTGTGTTTTCATGGGTTGGTGCATTCCTGTGCACTCATGGGTTGGGGCATTCTTGTGCACTCATGGGTTGTTGCATTCTTGTGCACTCATGGGTTGGTGCATTCTTGTGCACTCATGGGTTGGTGCATTCTTGTGTACTCATGGGTTGGTGCATTCTTGTGCACTCATGGGTTGGTGCATTCTTGTGCACTCATGGGTTGGTGCATTCTTGTGCACTCATGGATTGGTGCATTCTTGTGCACTAATGGGTTGGTGCATTCTTGTGCACTCATGGGTTGGTGCATTCTTGTGTACTCATGGGTTGGTGCATTCTTGTGTACTTATGGGTTGGTGCATTCTTGTGTACTCATGGGTTGGTGCATTCTTGTGCACTCATGGGTTGGTGCATTCTTGTGTACTCATGGGTTGGTGCATTCTTGTGCACTCATGGGTTGGGGCATTCTTGTGCACTCATGGGTTGGTACATTCTTGTGTACTCATGGGTTGGTGCATTCTTGTGCAGTCACGGGTTGGTGCATTCTTGTGCACTCATGGGTTGGTGCATTCTTGTGTTTTCATGGGTTGGTGCATTCCTGTGCACTCATGGGTTGGGGCATTCTTGTGCACTCATGGGTTGGTGCATTCTTGTGCACTCATGGGTTGGTGCATTCTTGTGCACTCATGGGTTGGTGCATTCTTGTGCACTCATGGGTTGGTGCATTCTTGTGCACTCATGGGTTGGTGCATTCTTGTGCACTCATGGGTTGGTGCATTCTTGTGTACTCATGGGTTGGTGCATTCTTGTGCACTCATGGGTTGGTGCATTCTTGTGCACTCATGGGTTGGGGCATTCTTGTGCACTCATGGGTTGGGGCATTCTTGTGCACTGATGGGTTGGTGCATTCTTGTGTACTCATGGGTTGGTGCATTCTTGTGCACTCATGGGTTGGTGCATTCTTGTGCACTCATGGGTTGGTGCATTCTTGTGTACTCATGGGTTGGTGCATTCTTGTGCACTCATGGGTTGGTGCATTCTTGTGTACTCATGGGTTGGGGCATTCTTGTGCACTCATGGGTTGGTGCATTCTTGTGCACTCATGGGTTGGTGCATTCTTGTGTACTCATGGGTTGGGGCATTCTTGTGTACTCATGGTTTGGGGCATTCTTGTGCACTCATGGGTTGGTGCATTCTTGTGCACTCATGGGTTGGTGCATTCTTGTGTACTCATGGGTCGGTGCATTCTTGTGCACTCATGGGTTGGTGCATTCTTGTGTACTCATGGGTTGGTGCATTCTTGTGTACTCATGGGTTGGTGCATTCTTGTGCACTCATGGGTTGGTGCATTCTTGTGTACTCATGGGTTGGTGCATTCTTGTGCACTCATGGGTTGGGGCATTCTTGTGCACTCATGGGTTGGTACATTCTTGTGTACTCATGGGTTGGTGCATTCTTGTGCAGTCATGGGTTGGTGCATTCTTGTGCACTCATGGGTTGGTGCATTCTTGTGTTTTCATGGGTTGGTGCATTCCTGTGCACTCATGGGTTGGGGCATTCTTGTGCACTCATGGGTTGGTGCATTCTTGTGCACTCATGGGTTGGTGCATTCTTGTGCACTCATGGGTTGGTGCATTCTTGTGTACTCATGGTTTGGGGCATTCTTGTGCACTCATGGGTTGGTGCATTCTTGTGCACTCATGGGTTGGTGCATTCTTGTGTACTCATGGGTCGGTGCATTCTTGTGCACTCATGGGTTGGTGCATTCTTGTGTACTCATGGGTTGGTGCATTCTTGTGTACTCATGGGTTGGTGCATTCTTGTGCACTCATGGGTTGGTGCATTCTTGTGTACTCATGGGTTGGTGCATTCTTGTGCACTCATGGGTTGGGGCATTCTTGTGCACTCATGGGTTGGTACATTCTTGTGTACTCATGGGTTGGTGCATTCTTGTGCAGTCATGGGTTGGTGCATTCTTGTGCACTCATGGGTTGGTGCATTCTTGTGTTTTCATGGGTTGGTGCATTCCTGTGCACTCATGGGTTGGGGCATTCTTGTGCACTCATGGGTTGGTGCATTCTTGTGCACTCATGGGTTGGTGCATTCTTGTGCACTCATGGGTTGGTGCATTCTTGTGTACTCATG